ATATTCCAAACTTTTTGGTCAAAGGTCTATGTGAGCTACTCAACTCTTCAGCTGTAGCCTGAAACCAGCCAAAGAAAATACACAAAGGAATGGTTGTGTTCCAATAAAACTTTACTCTCAAAAATAGGAGGTGGTTTATAGTTTGCCAACCAACCCCTGAACTTGAGGGCAGTTTTCATAACCCTTATTCTCAAATCCCAAATGGGAAATTCTGGTGAAATACAAATAATTGAATTTAGCTTGCTTAGCTCTCAGTATTACCTGGTGACCCCCACCCACTGTCAATCACAGTTACCGACTGAGAGTTCCAATCACAACAATAATAAAGGTGGCAAACAGAGCACGAAGTGATATTAGGCACTTTATGCTGGGAATTCGTTAAATTTTCTGATTAAAGAAAGCACACTCTGCCCTGACCGGCGTTGCTCAGTGGTTAGAAAGTGGGCCCCGGGCACTGAAGGGTCCCGGGTTCAAACCTCGGTCAGGGCACGTACCTAGGTTGCAGGTGGCTCTCTCACACTGCTGTTTCTCTCTCTCCTTCCTTCTCTTCCACTCTCTCTACCAAATAAATGGAAAAATATCCTCAGATGAGGATTAACGAAACAAAACAAAAAAAAAGCACATTCTGACCTGGCTGGGAGTTTTATGCCCTGGACCTGGGTTAACCTAGAAATGTGGTTCATTCTCCCTATAGCATCCTAGAACTGCCTATCATCACAGAAAGATGAACAACCCTGTTGTCAAAACAATGGAATCCTGCTCTTTGCAACCCCCAGCCTGAATTGCCTGTAACCTGTAATCATTATACCTATTCTTACTCCTTTTGCCTACTCCCCTATGCCTGTAATTCCTTTTGCCTACTTTCTCGTGTAATCTTTGCCTTCTATCTAATATATGCAGCTGGCTGAGGAGGGGGAAAGGGGGGTAGTTAGAGCATATTTTTGTGGATGACCTGCAGCTCTCCCATGTTGCTGGCTATAATGGAAAATAAAAAGCTCATATAGGATTCACCCTGTATCTGGTTAATTGACTCAAGTAGTGACAGGCAGCCCGAAGCCGTTCCTTATCCACCTTCACAACATCTGGTTTACTGTAGTTTCAAGGCCATGGGCTGGCCCTGCCTGGGTAACTCAGTTGGTTAGAGTATTGTCCTGATACACCAAGGAGGCGGGTTCAATCTCCAGTCAGGGCACATACAGAAATCAACTAATGAATGCATTAAAAAAATGTAACAAATCAATGTCTGTCTGTCTGTCTGTCTGTCTGTCTCTCTCTCTCTCTCTCTCTCTCTCTCTAATCAAGAGATTTTTTTTAAAATTTTAATAAAATAAAGGCCTTGGTCTGATGTGCCAAAAGTAATAGACAGCAACTCTTTCTCCTTCCTGCCCTTTCTTTGTCCATTTGCCATTTGCTAAGGAATGTCTTTGATGGACCCCAAGTCTTCTGGACATGAGAACCAATATCCCACCACTTTAGTGTGAGGGGAAGCAGAATTTGCTCCCCCAAAATATGTCTTTGGGGATGTTGATTATTTTAAGGTGGTTATTTTTTAAGAAACAGAAGACAGGAAAGACCTTTGACCTTCCCCATGAAGAAAAGATACTATCAGAGATAACTACAGTTTAATATGAAGCAGACGGCATAGACAGGGAGGAGCCTAGCAAGGCCCATTGGAGCAAAGTCCTCCCTGTGCCCATTGTTTCAAGATGGCCCAACAAACATGTGTTTGCTACACATTAACTCTTTGCATCTCCTTACTTCCCTCTGAAGTGCTAGGCCCCTAACTCCCCCTGCTTCCTTAGTCCTCATCTACACGTATGCCGCATTTTGTCATATTGTCTTTAAAATTTTTATGCTGATGTAAGTTCCCCTAGTACATTTAATTAAAACCTGATCTTCTCCTGTTAATCTGCCTATGCCAGGAGAACTTTCTAAGGGTGTGAAGCAACTGCTGATGGAGCAACCTCAGTATACGTTTCAGGCAGAACTGTGTAAAGCATGAGGAATGCACACCATCAACTGATATGGTTTTCATTCTCTTCTTCTCCTTTTATTTGCTGAATTGGGGCCAGCAAGTGACCTCCCTGGTTCTTCCAAACCAGTCCGTATCTCTCAGGGCATCCTTACATGACTGTCCTATCCCAATTCCAGAAAAGAAAACACAATAGGAGTTGACAAACTATAGCCTGTGGGCCCTATCCAGCTGGCCAGCTATTGGAATATGGCCTACAAATAAGAATTATTTCCGTATTGTTGTTATTTATTTAGTTAGTTTTGGTTAATCCTCACCTGAGAATATTTTTCCCATTGATTTTTAGAGGGAGGGAGGGAAGCAGAGAGGGAGTAATGGGGAGAAGGGGAGAGAGAGAGAGAGAGAGAGACATCAATGTGAGAAAGACATATCAACTACCTCCCACACGAGTACTGACTGGGACAGGGATCAAATCTGCAAACCAGGTAACGTGCCCTGGACCAGAAATCAAGCCTGAGACCCTCTGGTGCACAGGCTGACGCTCAAACCACTGAACATACCTGCCAGGACTGGTTTCTATCTTTTTGGTGGTTGAGGGGGGAAAAAATTAATAAGAAGTATCCTGGGCAAATGAGTAGGAGCTGGGATGAGGAGGGGAAAAGGGAGGGGAAATGGGACATACCTGTAATACTATCAACAACAGAAAATATATTTAAAAAGAAAAAGAAGTATAATATTTCCTGACACATGAAAATTCAATAGAATTCAAATTTTAGTGTTCATAAATACAATTTTATGGGAACACAGCCAGTTTGTCCATATTACCTATGGGTGCTTTTGCACTAAAATGGCAGAGCTGAGTGGTTGCAATAAACACCACACGCCCGGCAAAGCCTAAGATATTCACTATCTGCATCTTTCCAGAAAAGCATGACACCCCTGAAGTTGAACTATTGGACTTCCCGTCCGTAGAAGACGTTCCCAATCCAGACAAGGCATTCCAGAAATACAAAATGAAGACGCATTAAGTCCACCAGATATCCACAGTGACACCATCCGAGAGGTCACACACTATGTCCACTCCTCACTACGCAATGAGAAGAGTGGAAGCCTTGCGTTCCTTCACTCCATTTTCAACTGGAGATGCAGATGGGATGTAACTTCCAACTCTAGACTAGCACCATTAGTATCCTAGATTGATGAACTGTAAATAGCAGGCCACTTTTTGCTGCTTCTGAACTGAACTGCAGCCACAGAGTATAAAAAGATAAATTTTCTTTGGGTTTCTTGGCAAGGAGCTCTCTATATATGTAATTTTGGCTTTTGTCTCCCAATTTCCTTAATTTATCAAAAATGTTGACAAAAAGGCTCTAATTAGATCATTCTAATCACAAGAAACTGGGTGTGATGGAAGACTTCAGAATCACTATCTGCTCTTTGCAAAACAAAACAGATAGGCTATTCTCCCTGTAGGGGCAGGAGATTTATCAAGAGACAAAAGGATGCAAAAAGCCAATAGATAAGGTGTAATTAAAGATCAGGCCTATAAATTTTACACTGACATAGATTTAAGAGGATTTGCAGGTAGAAATTCAGGATTTAAAACCCAAGTATCATTATGAAAATAATACCGTTCAGTTCTGTATGCAACAACATTCTATAATATATAGGTTTATTATTAAGACTAATGCTCTGTGCCTTCCAGCCCTTTCATACAAAGAATTTAAATTATTCAGTGCCAAAGAAATTTCCAAAGTGGCCTATTTTCTTCAAGCATTCCTCCTTAATTAGCTACATGTTCCATGTATTGAGCATCTAAATCTGTTTTAGAAATAGCAATCACCTATCATATCTCTGTTAGTTGTTAGAGGCATTAATTTAGAAGGTCTGTGTATTCTTATATGTTTTCATCCCCCTCCCCCCTTTATAATGTAATAAAATCACTTCCAATAGGATATTCAACATGGTTATAATACAGGGTGGGGCAAAAGTAGGTCTATAATTATTTATATAGGACATAATACAATCCTATACAATAAAAGCCTAATATGCAAATCGACCAAATGGTGGAATGACCTCTCGGCGGGGTCAGGGCTGACAAGTGGGCTGCACCAGGCCAGCCAAGGTGGGTGCCAGCAGGCAGAGGGCGGAGACGGCAATCAGAGAGGTGGCGGTAGCAACCAGCCGCAGCGGAGGGGCAATCGTGGGGTGGGACCAGCCATTCGCTGGCCGGTGCCATCCCCCAATCAGCCACCAGTAGCCTCCCACAGAGGGAGGCCAGACTGACGGCTTAGGCCCGCTCCTTGTGGGGAGCGGGCCTAAGCCATCAGTCAGATATCCCCTGAAGGCTCCCAGACTGGGAGAGGTACAGGCCAGACTGAGGGACGCCCCCCTCCCCGAGTGCATGAATTTTCATGCATAGGGCCTCTATTAATTAATAAAGAATAAACTGTGTTTGTGTGTTCACAACTGTAAACCTACTTTTGCCTGCCCTGTAGTGCTCTCTCTTCACTGGCTCAAAGCCAAAAGTAAAAAGAAAAAGAAAAAGAACTTCAGAATACTATATAGTAGAGAGGGCTGAAGTATATTCGACTAAGATCCAACTTGAAACTAAAGTTGCATCTTTTAGATTAAAGCATAAATGATCATTTTGATATATGATGCTCTATAATATTCAGCAGGTATTTAGCAGCTCAAGACTAGCCTCTGAAATCCCAGCCACTGGAAAGACAGAAAAGGAAAGGCTGCGTCTTTTGGAAAATGACAAGTTTGGCACAATAACTCATTAACAAGTAAAGTTCAGAAATAAATTTAGGGGGAAAACAGATTGAGAAAACAGGTGGGAGGGATAATTTAAGGTACTTTAATAACCTCGAGGCAAACCAGGCTTGAATATTTAAACTTTTAGGAAATCACAAAAGGTATGAACAGACAGAAGTCTGGCTTGAAGGTGATTCAAAGTGAACCTTCCAGAGAGTTTAATGAGAGGCTACTGACCTGTGAGATCCCACTCAGAACAGTCACTTACCGGAGTAGGCCCAGTACGGGTCCCCAGAGGCCTTGCGCCTGCGGATCTGTGAGGAGCTGCTGTGTCTGCTGTCCTGAAGGGACCCGACGTAGCCTTCGGTCAATGCTGGAAGGAAGACAGGAGAGCCACAGTGAGACAACGGCAGCACCACTGAGCCCAGAAAGGTGTCAGATGCACACCAGTGAGTGACTTCTGGGAAGCACAGGCCTTGGAATAACGAATAGAACCTATTGGTTTGACAGAAAAACAGCCACAGGAGACTCTGGAGATATTACCGTGGTCACTATTAATATTAATCACAGCTTACAACAAGCCAAGAAGCTCAATGCACTAGGCCAGGGGTGGGCAAACTTTTTGACTCGAGGGCCACAATGGGTTCTTAAACTGGACCGGAGGGCCGGAACAAAAGCATGGATGGAGTGTTTGTGTGAACTAATATAAATTCAAAGTAAACATCATTACATAAAAGGGTACGGTCTTTTTTTTTTTTAGTTTTATTCATTTCAAACGGGCCGGATCCGGCCCGCGGTCCGTAGTTTGCCCACGGCTGCACTAGGCACTTTATATACATTACTAGAGGCCCGATGCACGAAATTCGTGCAAGGGGCTCAGCCCTCACAACCTTGGCCGGCCCTCACAGCCCCTCGCAACCTCGGCCGGCCCTCACAGCCCTTCTCAGCCCGGAAGGCCATTCGGTTGTTCGGTCTAATTAGCATATCAGCTCTTTGTTATATAGGATCTTAGTCTGCAAGGCAGTCAACCTGGACCTTAGAGAAGTTCTTTAACATGCTCAAGGTCATACAACTAGGAGACCTGGAGCCTGCATCCAGCCTATGTGGTGGGTGCAAAGGGCCTCCGGCCTCATTTGATCTTCAGAGAGCAGGGGTCACTCCATCTCTTTTACAGATGGAGGAAGTGAGGCTCAGAGCCCAGGTCACTGAGGTAAGTGTGCAGCAGGTCACGGACCAGAACTTAAGTACCTACATCCAAGCCAGGGCTGCTGCCACCCACATGCAGCACAGCCTGAGCCTAGGAGACTCCCAAGATTGAGTGGCAGACTTCCACATCCTTTGGACCCTGAAGACTCAGTCACCTATTGTACATGAGGATATGAAATTTAAACCCTCCAAGGACAACAGAAAAGAAACACTGCCCTGGCCAGATGGCTCCATTGGTTGGGGCGACGTCCTGTCCACCAAAAGGTTGCAGGTTTGAATCCCTGTCAGGGCACATACCTAGGTTGTGGGTTCAGGCCCTGGTCAGGGTGTGTATGAGAAGCAACCAATCGATGTTTCTCTCACATCAATGTTTTTCTCTCCCTCTCTCTCTAAAAAATCAATAAACATATCCTCAGGTGAGGACTTTAAAAAAAAAAGAAACACTGCTTAATGATGTATTTTTTGAAAACTCAAACTGAATCTGATCTTCGACCCCATGGTGGAGGCTTCCATCTGCCAGCTCTTGTGTTCAAAGCCCGCCCCTCCCATCCCATCATGGATGCAAATCTCTTTTGTTGTGAGCCCACACCTGAGTGCACTGATGTGTAAAAAGACAAATATCACAGGTGCCCAGAATCCAAAATGAAATGGAATTCCGCTTCAAACAATACATCCCAGCTGTCTATGTTAACATTTAAATGCATCCAAACAAAATCAAATGTGCTTTTAAAAAGCAAAGAAAGCAGTTAGGGGAACTGTACAGTCAATTAAAAATTAGGATGGCACCAGGAAAACATAATACATTTTCTATTCCAAATTAGTCAGAGTAATAATAATAATAATAATAATCTCACCATGATGGGATTAGCAATGTAGACACTGAGACAGTCGTGAAGTAAATGAGGAAACATATAAAATACTTTATGCTTACATGTCAATTGCAAAGACATGTTTAATGCTTAAACAAAGAACAAAGATATTCCAGCAAGATGAACCCTTCAGAGGGAAAGAAGAATCTTTTAAAATCCGGAAACACATCGAAAAAGCAAAATTGATGTCATTTATGCCTCGTCATTGGTCCTGAATGGCACAGTAGAAATCTAAGTCACTTTTCATTTTTAAAGCATGTTGAAGTTTTAGGTACCTATCACCCACTCCATCCTAGTTTTTGCAGATGAGCCATACAAAGCCCCAGGAAGTTGACCATTCTAAGCTTCTAGGGATCAAAATTAAATCTCTCATCTCCTCATCTACTTTTTGTCCATAGACTAAAGCACACGAAATGAATAACTGTTAACTGTCCACGTATATAGGAAGCTTTTTAAATGTATCTGTTTGCTGTGTATCTTAGAGCTAGTTCACTCTAATTATTCCCAAATAATTCTTCCTCTTAGTATCAGGACAATGAGTAAGAGTGTCTTGGCCTTGAGAATAATCCATGTGGCTTCCATTAGGGCATGTGATTGAGCCTCAGTTTCCTTATCTGTAAAATAGAGCTAAAAATCCAACCCCATAGGATAGTTATTTAGAAATACAAGTTATTGTGAGCAGAGCACCTAACTGAGCATGGGGCATATGGTGCTATTAAATGCCTGGTAACACAGTGGCCATTTGTTGCTGTCACTGTTTTTGAAACCACCATAGCCCCCACTTCCTTAGTCAGAGTCATACATTGGAGAGCCTTGCCCCTTACCTCTCCTGTCTCCCTGCCAGCTATTTTGTGTGTGTGCACGCATGTGCGTGTGTGCGTGTATGTGTGTGTGTGTGTGTAATGGGGAATGAGGGGGGCAACAGAATGACACTAGTTTGGCTTAAGCCAGGAAGACCATGCTCCTGGACCCCAACAAGGTGTTTAAAAATGGGGACATCCACCAATCAGAGAGATTCTCCTCTCTTCCTGAGGTCTTAGGGCATGAGCAGGAAGCCTCAGGGGGTGACTGAGGATCCTGCAAGGGGTCAGTAGAGGAGCTCAAGAATGGAACCATCCAACAGCAAACTAGAGGATCGCAAGAATCATGTCAAAGATTTGAAATACGAAGAAGCAAAAAACACCAAACCGGAAAAGCAAAAAGAAAAAAGAATCCAAAAATATCAAGATAGTGTAAGGAGCCTCTGGGACAACTTCAAGCGTACCAACATCCAAATTATGGGGGTGCCAGAAGAAGAGAGAGAG